GTCTTCGGAATTCCTGCTTTTGGCGTCACTCTGACGTGAGCACCGGTCGGTGCAAGCTTGTAGGCCTTTTTGCATCCTATAGTTTTTTAAATTTATATGAGTGAGCTTCACCCACAAAACACAGTTGCCAGGGCTCGACGGAGGCCATGTAGTGTCAACGCGACAGCGTTGAAGACCTCGTTCTGCACAGATTTCGGCGTCAGGGAGGGCGGTTGTGGGTGAAAAATCCACGAAGTGAATGACGACGATTGAGGTGAAGCTTTTTGGAGGGTTTCACCGGTAAACCGTCTGTCCGTCCAAACTAGCGCCGCCCGCTGAGTGAGTGTCGTAGAAATAGGCGGTCACGTGCCACGACAGAAAGACAGGCGTGTGCAGAACCACGGCTTTAGAAGCTTCGCCGTTAAAATCCTAGATGTCCGAGCGAGGACCGAACCAGGAGCGCTTGGGTCCGAGTGGGAATCGAACCCGGGTCGTTAACGTGCCAAGCGGATGTTGATAGAGAACGGCCACGCGTCTCCATGCAAATACAGTGAAAAGAACTTCTTCTGCTCGGGAATGCAGTGAAAGTCGCTTTCAGGCTTTACAGACACACGCATTCTGTATACATTCTTCAGGATGCAGCATAAAACATTGCATTAATGATACGTGGAACAAGCGCCCATAGCCAGCAAGCGTCAAAGCACGTGATAATCATAATGGCTTCGTTGAAATTTTAGTTTCGGTTCACGGTTTACATACAGATCATTCACAAAAATACTAGCAACAGATGAAGGTCTTAGACTATGAACGCTAATAATACGAATCTCGGTGAAATTACAATGAAATTCAATTCAATTAAGAATCGGCAGAAGGTTATCAGGTGGCCAAAATGCAGGAACAATTGAAGTACGACAAGAAATAACAAAAATTGTCCGCCTCGGTGGATCAGTGGCCCGCAGGGTGCTCGGATGCTGACGCGAAGGTTACGAAATACGAATTCCGGTCGTGGTGGTCGCACTTCGATGGATGCGAAATGGTAGAAGCCCGTGTAATGCGCACGTTTTTAAGCAACACAAGTGCACGTTAAAAAAACACTAGATGGTGAAAATTTCCGGAACCGGTCTCTACAGCATTCCTCGTAGTCATATCGTGGTTTTGAGACGTAAAGCCTGAAATATTATCAGATAACAGTGATACAACAAATTAGAACGCAAAATTCAAAATACAGCACGCTGAGCAAAAACGAATAATAATAATAATAATAATAATAATAATAATAATAATAATAATAATAATAATAATAATAATAATAATAATAATAATAATAATAATAATAATAATAATAATAATAATAATAATAATAATAATAATAATAATAATATAATAATATCAACACGCTGTAACTGTTAAAACACTTGGTGATATTGATGTTATAGAAATACAAGAGAAGAGTAATCAAATGACGTAAGATATGGCTCACTTACTTGGTGCTTCGAGCCGCTATGCACCATGATTGAACATTTCGAAAACACTCGAAGTAATCGGGAAGCTTGTACACAAACAGCTAACCTAACAGACGGATAAAGTGGTTTATGATGCTGACGTCTGTAACGACAGCCATTCAAGTGCATGACGACGGGAGACGACAGTGAAAACGGCGCGCTTTTATCTTGGCTCTTTCGTCGATCGTTGCTGCGAGATCACGCGACTTTGTCAAAAAGGTTGATTGCCAATCAATTCTCATTTATTAGGAGTTCTTGTTATGGTTCTCTTGTTACAAAATTAAAACCAACAGCAAGAAAGGTAGGTTAGCTTTGCCACATAAACGTAATGACAGCAGTCGTGCACGCTTTACAGGAGTAAAGCTAACTCGGCAGTGGCGTCTTAAAACGCCGCAAAACAAACACGAAATTCGGGCATCTCAGATATGCAGCATCCACATCAAAGATAAATAATGCCCTAACAATGTCTTACTCCTTTCGTGGTGTCTTGACGAAGTTTCGGAGAAGCAAAAACAAAAATTAGTAAATGCTATGTGAGTGCGCTTTTTCGCATACACACCATGCCAGCGGTGGTGCACTCTTTACAGAATGTCAGCTAAGTCTACATTCGCTTTTTAACGCTCGGCAAGAAAGCATGACGACCGGGCGTCTCTCACTTGCAATGTCATTGATAGCGACAAATTATTTTTCAAAAATTGTGGTTCAGCGCAAGAACAAAAAAAAAAAAAACAGTAAGTGTAGGTTGCATCCACTTCGCCTCACAAACACAAAACTAGCGGTGGTGCACCCTTTACAGGAGGTAAAACAGAATCTAAAGAGGCCCAAGTGCCGAGCCGCGTCTGAACCCTGGGACGCAAAACATCACACACAGGCATCTCCCGCTTGCGGTGTCGTCGCTAGTGACTAATAACGCCACAAAAATTGGCGAAGTTTTCTGGTCTTGAGCGCGAAGGATGAGGTTCGACTGCCACATTTAAGATTTTTTTTTTTGCCCGTGTTGCCATCGGTTCAATGAGGGGAAACTTCACCTTAAGACAGGCGCAGTCATAAGAGCCGGACTTTCTAGCACCCGTTGTTAGCGGCCCTTGAACTGGCAACAGTATGCTTCAAGACAATTTGCTTAGAGTATCATTCGTGCTTGCGGTGAGACAATAATTTGCCGGTTAAGACGCACACACACTGCTCTGAGGTCAAAACCAAAAAATAATAAACATGTGGGCAAGTTAGAGATTGGCAGCTCAAAAATGTAGATGCGATCACTTGCAACATCTTTTTGATGTATGTAAGTCTACAATTTTGGCCTAAATGATGTGAGAACACTCAAGTGTGTGCCATATCTCAATATTTGTTCATGTGATTTTTAGTTGAATTAGTGACGAGACAGCACTGCGCTCTGTTTTGTCTGTACAGATTAACATGCAGGTACCTTACATACGCCGGCCGAATTCTATGTTTTTCATTTAAAAGCTTTATCTCTATGTTCTTTCTGTATACTCGTGTTCTCGCGCTGCCCGTTTCAGCACGGACAAACACACAGGACGACCCCAGTTTAGAGTGTCGTCTCCGCAATGGAGTTTGTTTTCCTTCACTGAGCTGTCTTTTGAGCACCAATCATGTCTTATATCTAGCCGGAATGACTCTGGCGAAACAGTGAGAGCTACGAATGTGCACCGCAAAGTGGCGTACCGTTATGTCATTGGCTTCCCAGTGGCAAATGGCAACCCCTGACATAAAAGAAAAAAAAGAAAACGAAAAGCTCATCAACTATGATGCGAGCCACCGCATGCAGGGTTACAATGTGAAGTTGTTGGCATAACATCTTACTTGGTGGCAGCGTAAGCTGAAGAGAAAGACGGCAGATAAGGAAAACTCGATGCGTTCTGTGGAGTGTGTTTTTTTCTTGGTTGTCCACGCTTTCAGATTGCGTTACCATCAAGTATATCTCATTTAGGTCCCGTTGTACTGTCTAGTAATCACAAATACGTGTTCGCGTCTGCCGATAGGCTCACGCCTGGTTGCCTAGCACGTTTTTTAGAGCGTTGTGCACCAGATTGATAAGTTTACTGAATAGAATAGGTTACCTCAAAATAAGGTGGTGGTTATGATAGCTAAGACATTGGAGAGCTCCATATTTTGTCTGACCACTCAGGTTTCTTGGAACTGCGAGAAAAAAACGAACGCGAGTATGTTTAGGGCACCCGGTAAAAACTATCTTGTAGTTATCGCCAAGCACCATAAGTGGTTAACCACCTTGGCGGGTCACGTGCTAATTCACAAAATATCGCGTGTTACTACCACCAGAGGCATCACGACGCTTTTTATTTTTAAGGGGCACACATAGCTGGCTACAACTCGTTCTCATATTTCAATTTTCCATCTAAACATTCTTGAGTAATGGACTTGAGTGGATCAATCATTACCTTAACTCAATGTCTACGAACCGCAGCTTTGCCCTCCTCCCCCTCTCCCCTTACTCAATATGCATCGCGATTCATGCGTGACATCTGTTCGTGATTGTCACTCATCGAAGTGTGGTCGTCATGACAACGCTGCGTCGCCGTAGCTGCTACCATGATATACTGCCTTCATCATGCCATCACTCTCTTCGCGTTATAAAGTCGTCAGCATAGCGTACGTAGCGTGATATAGTTCGACGCATATTTTGAGCCACCAGTTTTCATCGTCAAAGCGAGCGTTTCTCTTGTTGTTCGCGTTTCAGGGTAACAAAGTATACATAACAATTAACAATAAGAGCACTCAGGTTTCTCGATTAGTAGCACCGACATCATTTTGGCACAGCACGGGCAAGTAGCGCGAAATTGTAAGTTTACTGGCGACCCGATCCCGCTTACAGAACTTCAAGGGTGTATTGCTATGCGTCCAAGCACTGGAGATGTGTAATGACATTTATGAAGCGCTTAGAGTCGGAGGAGGTCTCCATATTCGAATAGAGTGAAGCTAAGGATACGAACACCGAAGAAGAGAATAACAGTGAGAGAAAACAAGACTGTTGCCTTATCTGTTTACTTATACTTTCGTGTCCAAGTCTGCGTACATTTATTTCGTATACTGTGAATCCCCGCCAACTAGCTCAACTTTATATCTCTTTAGGTTGCAAGTATTCAATCGTGGTAGTTTGGGGGCTAAGGTGTCACGCTAATAAGCTCGATGGCACGGGGTTCGAATCCCAGCTAAGGCGACTGCGTTTCCACGGAGCATTACTCGAAATCACTCTCGTACTTAGATTTAGGTTAACGTTAAGTAGAAACACAGGTGGCTAAAATCAATACAGTGTTATCCTCACGATGACACGCCTAATATAAAATTGTGGTTTCGCCCTCTGAAACACGAGAAACGAATCGAGTTGAGGTTTTTTTTTTTACTTCGCTACTCCATAAATGTTTTGTGTAGGCTCCATTATGCGTGAAATAGTCATGCATCTCTGTGCACTATGTTTTCAACGGAAAAGAGTTGTTCGAGCCCGCAAAATTCTTCGGGCAACATCCTCTTGTCTCGCAGTGTATACGGCCTCCGCATCCGGCACCCCGCAGCATCCTCCCGGGCATCACCCATGCTGCGCCGTACCACGGAGCTCCACCCCCGACCGCGGTCGATCGCCGTCCGCACGGAGGAGGCATCACTCCTCCCGGCTCTGCGGATGCGGTCTCCATGGCGACGACCAATGGGAGCTCCGCGCGGCTCCGTGGGCGTGTCCGGCTGTCGTCAGCCGCCGTCGGCTGTGGGGCGCGCTTTTATAAGACTCGCGCGGGCGCATTGGGCGCGATAACTTCGTTAGTCATTGCTCGTTAGTCAGGGCCCCAAGGCTGGCCGCAGCGCTGGACGGCCGGTTCCAGCTGTGGAGCAGCGCCATGGCGGCGGCTGCCGCCGCCGTGGCCGCCGAAGATCCGCGGCTCCAGGCGCCGGCGGTCGGCGATGAACGCCTCGGCGGCGGAGTGGTCTCGCACGCCGGCGGCCAGCAGGACTGCGGCGGCGGCGGCGACAAGCGAAAGGTCGAACTGGCGTCGCCATTGTACGCGCTGCAGGAGCCCAGGCACCGAGACGGACAGCTCCAAGGACAGGGTGAGTGCTGCTACGGGCGCGCGCGCCGTGGCGATCGATGGCCGTAGAGGCCTAATGTCATTAGGGACCCCCCATCAATGCCTTAACGAGCTCGGCCCCGCGGAGGCGGGGTTACTCGCAGTGCGCGCCGCCTTCTTGGACACTGAATAGTGGCGGAGACGAGCGACGACGAGAAAACCGGCGAAATCAGAAATTATTTTGCGGGTGTTAAAAAAAAAACTCGAAAAGAAGTGACGGTAAAATGAGAGCACGGGGCTTGCACGGAAACGACGGACCAGCGTTCGATATATTCAATCACCGCCATCGCCACTCATCACCGTACACGAGTGGCCTAACGAAACTACTATTCGGAGTTGGATCGAATAAGGTTCATCCGAAGTATCTGGTGCCAGTCCTTAAGCGGCGAGTGGTACATCGCACTCCCCCAATCCCGATCTACGCCCGATTTCGAAAGAACGAAAAAGATGTGAGAGATACTCTTGACCTAAACTCTGTTCACGGTTGCTCAGAAGGCGCGAGGCCTTTGGTGTAATCTAAGGTGCTCTCCTCTGCAGTTTTTCTAGTGCATCTATAGAAACGCGTGAATACACGTCGATATGTAAAACAAGCTGCCCTGATGATACGAAATCAACGGCAATCAGCTTGTATCAATGTGTACCGAGTCCCTCCCGGTAATACAACTTGATTCCCAGTATACTTTACTCTCAACATAAATAACTTGCAATGTCTCATTGGCGGCAGCTATAGTATAGTCACGCTTCCATCACGCATCACAGGCAACCATTTAGGTGACGACAGAAAGCCGTAAAACGGACAGTGAGAAAGTTGGGTGTTTGGATTAGGGTCTTGTCGATAATGACCTTTACATGGATGGATGATGGATGAAAATATTTTATTGAGGTCCTTAAGGATTCATAAAAGAAAAAAAAGAACACCGAGACGATTAGCTTGAATGGAACAGGGAGATCTTCAGTTGTTTCAAGTTGCCATTGCTTAGCCTTTCGCCCCTCAACGGTAGGGCCTTGTGTAGAAAAATCTCAATCACGCGTCAGAAAGTGTAAGCGTAAATCATGTTGTACACTTCATGCGCGCATTAGAGAATGTTCTGAATTGAATTATAATAATATTTGGGCTCATACGTCCCAGAACCACGATACGATTATGAGAGCTAGGCACCGTAGTGGAAGGCTCCGCAAATTTCGACCACCTGGTGTTCTGAGACGTGCGCTGACAACGCAGAATATACACGGGCCTCTATGGTTTTGCCTCCTTCGAAATGCAACCACCGTAGATTGAATCGAACCCGCGACCTTCTGGTACGTAGCCAATTAAGAATCATAAGCAGTGCGCTGCTGTGCCGGACAATAGTTAGAGCGATTGATTTATTGATATGTGGGGTTTAACGTCCCAAAACCACCATATATGATTATGAGAGACGCCGTATTGGAGGGCTCCGGAAATTTCGAACCACCTGGGGTTCTTTAACGTGCGCCCAAATCTGAGCACACGGGCCTATACAACATTTCCGCCTCAATCGGAAATGCAGCCGCCGCAGCCGGGATTCGATCCCGCGACCTGCGACAATATTTAGAATTTAATCAAGGCAAGAAAAGGTCAGACAATAAGCGTATGAATACCAGTTCGAATACCCGCATGTGTACATGCTGGTAGAGGGTTGCGTGCAGGGTGTCTAATCGCGTCTCTCTCTTCTGTTCGTGTCTCGTTCGCGCGACTTTGTGCATTCTAGGGTAACAAAACGTGAGCGTATTTGTGTAAAAAGAAACATAGCTGTAGACTACTTACGTCATGGATAGAAGCTCCGGCAACGAATATGTATATACGAATTAATTATGTTCATTACAACTCTAAGGTAAAAGCGTTTTGTATGTATTTTGTTCGTTACGGTTGTCGACCTATATGTTCATAAATTTTTGCTATGAAAACCAGTCCGCAACTTGCATTAAACAACGCTCACGTGTTTTCATGTGTTCCAGTCGCTACAACCATTCCGGCAGCTGCACGACGTTATCGCGACGCCACCGGTGAATGGCCCACGAACTCGAACTTATAGTCATCATAACGTAAAGCGAAAGTTGGTCTTCTTTGTTGCACAGGGTCCGCTGATTTACCGTCGAGGTTACTATGCTCCTTCAAAACGATTACTCAGACAGACCCCCAAATGTACGTATATACCACAAACCGCGCCTGCAATGTTCGAGAAGCTTCGGGATTGTATAGTAGATCATTTCGTTAAGATAACGCCCACTTTGCGAACATTACAGATTATTCTGGAACCTATACGCGGCCGCTACTGATAACGCTCGAATATTCGACGGCACGTGTATAAATGCCGACGCGCTTCACCGCTTGTCTTTTCGAAGGCACGTGTATAAATGCCGGCGCGCTTCACCGCTCGTCTACTCGACGGAACATGTATAAATGCCGGCGCGCTTGACCGCTTGTCTATTCGACCGCACGTGTATAAACGCCGACGCGCTTCACCGCTTGTCAGTTGATCAACATTTGACGATCTGATCGCCGCTGTCAGTGCCAGTGTCTTGCTATAATTTGGTTTTCCTTTTGCTTGGTCACAACTTAGGCCCAAATAAACAGTGCCATCTTCGACCTGAAGTCTGCTCCCTTCGTTCACGTCCCGACCCCGTGACGATACTTTCTTTTTAAGCTGCCCGTTTCTTTTGAAGCTACCCACGGTGGTGTGAGTGAGAAGTTCAGGATCTACATCTAAACCTGCATCCAACACGCACAGAAGACAAATTAGCGTGAAAACAACATGAACTTGTCAGAGAACGTGCGGCCGCAGCCTTCAATGGTTTTCGTCTTCACAATAGCGTAAGGGTTCTTATTTATTTTTTAAAGTAAAGCCACGTAACTACAGTTACAATTAAGATTCGAAGATGTAATTACGAGACAACGATTGCGGGGGGCACAGACCTCGCGTTGAAACGCAACCACCGTTGATTGTAAACAGGATGTTACATGGCGTAGTATACCTGATTTGAATAGACAATGACTCATACGCGAGTTTCAGTCTATTTAATTCATAGCCCGTATTTATTCTTGCCGTATTGTCCTGTACCGGCTTAACGTTTAACCTCGACCTGATTCCTCACGCTGGTACCGCTATGAGAGATGACGACCTGTTGCTTTAACACAGCCTTAATAGAAGCCGTCGCAAAGTGTCACGAATACTCTCGAACGCCGTAGCTGATGGGGCCGTTTGAGTGAGGTGTATTTACCTGAGAGAGGCCCCTAATACTTCTGCACGCATGAGAACCTCCTCATCAAAAAAAAAAAAAAAGAGCGAGCGCATACCTTAGGAGGAACAGGGGGAGGACGAAGTAACCCTTGTAGATGAAATACACATGATTTATGCTAAAAGAAAAGCACCGTTGTATTTGGAAAAAAAATTACACCATATCGCACTAAAGGGAAGGATCCTTGAGTGGCATGCGAAGCAGTGCATGGGTCGACTTCCGTTAATCATGGGCACTTTGCCTGATATTAACGCGACCTTGCAAGCGGAGCACACCATGAAATGTATTGTTATCGCGCGTCAGCAGAATTTAGTTAGGGCTGGTGCCCACCGGCGACTTGCTGTGGTCGCGCGACCATTAGCGACTGGCGACTAAAAAGCGACTGATATTCACACCGGCAGAGGCTGCATGCGAGCGACCGGAAGTCGCAAAACTGGAAAGTCACGTCCGGATCTCGTTATCAGCGAGAACTCTGGAGACCAGCGCCGATCAGGTGATCGCTGCAAGCTGAGTGAACCGAGGGCGTCGCATTTATTGTTTTCGTCCGTTCTCACGCAGCGTTGAAAACACAAAACAAAAACAAAAATTGAGCATCGCTGATTGGTTACGTTTCAGCTTTGCGACTGCATCGCGCGACTGAAAAATCGGTCAGGAAGCCAAAGCAGTCACTTTGCGACCGCTTGCGACCGTTCGCGACTGTTTGTGACCTGTCGCAAATGGTCGCGCGACAACTGCTAGACACCGGTGTGCACAAGCCTTTCCTCGACGCTATCACGTGATCACTGAGAGAGTGTCATGGGGAGAGGCCGCGGCCACTTACAGAGCAATTTACGCACGCGTGAACGCGCGAGCTTGCGCAGGCGCATTCTGACTGTAAGATACAACGCGCTGTTTCATCGCGCATCTACATAATCTCGTTTCCCGACGTTATCTCGTGATTTCTGAGAGACTGTATGGGGGAGAGGGCACCTACTCTTACCCGGCCCCTTACACGGGCCGGAACGCGCTTGCACGTGAGCACGTTCTGGCAGTGCTAAAGTCAGCTGTTGCGCATGCGCAGCAAGGGTGGTTAGGCACACCGGATGGAGCTTCGCCGTAAACTGCTTCGCACCTAAAACTGGCAGGTTGCTTTATCATTTTTCATTTGTTAAGTTCGTCATAAACACGTATGATTGTCAATGGCGGTGGAGCAAGAGATATCAAATTGCGATGAAGGGGCATGTAGGAAAGGGTGCTTCAGCTCCAACAACGTGAAGCGTGGGCAAGGGTGGAGTATGTATAGTGCGGGCTGGTGCTTCCCCCAGCAAAATCTTTACTCTTTACTGCTTTACTCGCCTCCCATCTGCTTGCGCACCATCAATTCGCTGATACGTTTCAAAGAAGCGGTGTTTCAAATAATTGATTGATTTGTAGGGTTTAACGTCCCAAAACCACCATATGATTACGAGAGACGCCGTAGTGGAGGGCTCCGGAAATTTAGACCACCTGGAGTTTTTTAACGTGCACCCAAATCTGAGCACACGGGCTTACAACATTTCCGCCTCCATCGGAAATGCAGCCGCCGCAGCCGGGATTTGAACACGCGACCTGCGAATCAGCAGCCGAGTGCCTTAGCCACTAGACCACCACGGCGGGGCCGGTGTTTCAAATAGATGGCTTTGCCATAGATATGCACGTTTGTGTCTCTGATTGCACGTATGTGTCCGTGTGTCTCAGGCACTAAGT